AAAAAAAAAAAAAAAACGCTACAGTTTTGTTTGAACTTTATGGCTTACTATTTACGGTAAATATTTACTCGCTGGCGAAGCACCAATCCAACTCACCAGATATGCATTCTATGAAACTTGGTTAATCAGCCAGAGTCTATAGTCAATTACCAGGGCAACGAATAAAACAAGTAAAAACTTATACTTTGATCAATTTATAAAGTTGCTGGATCTACAGTTTTAGAGTAAAAGGATGTCGAATTTGTCAAATCTTGATCCATCTCAAGTATATGCTATAACGGTCACTATAGAGTAATGGAAAGTGCAGATTTAAGGTGGAAAATTGATATGAGACATAAGAGTGGATATACAGAGAAAACAAAGTTTTTTTAATTAACTCATATGTCCTGAGCCACTGGTTTGATCAGCGAACATACACTATCAAGTACTGGGCACTTTATACACTATATTCTGTTTATTCCTTGCGCTGTATTCAGCAACAGTCGCTTCAGTCAATTAGCAGCGCTTGCTTGCCTGTTTCAAGTCTTATCCAACAATTCATTCGCTTATATTTTTTGTAAACGCTGGATTATTAACCGATAAATTTGTGCCAACTTTCCTAACAATGCGTCAAATCACTCTACACCCGATTAGTATGAGGTATAAGCTTAAAGAAAAGAAGGGAATGTTGGAAAAATTATGAAATCTAGGTCGAGAGAACCTAAAAAAATTCACATGATGTAGCAATTACCATACAGCTTAGCTGCAGCACTGCAAAAATTGAAATTTGAAAAAAATAGCACTTTCCCCGCAAAATTTATATGAGCAAAGATTTTGATCTTCAAGCAGAATAGAAGCCGATTTGCAAAAGTAAATTGCTTGCCCTTTTTGAAATGACCCTGGTCCTCCTCGCAGCTGCGTCAAACTACTTGGATACTAATGAATTTTTCATGAAGTTGTGGTGCTGAAGGAATATTATCCAGCAGCACTTTAAAAAGTGTTTTAGGTAAACCATTCTGTAGAGAAAAAAAGAGTTGCTAAACGAAACCCATATGTGTAGTAGGATAACTATTGAGCAGGCTTAACGCATATCGTGAATCTGGCTGATTGCTGTAAGATCTAGAGTAACGGGAGGTGTCATTATGTCAGTTTGCTTGGGATGAACCTAGTACTTTTAAAAAACGGATAGGGATGGCATTGCTTAGTGAACAAATATTATAAAAGGCAGTGGTCGCAAACAAATTTTTTACGAAATTGACGCTAACAGCTAAGGAAAGAAAAGCAGTTTTCAAGACAGTCAATTCTCGATTTTCAAACCAGTATAATAGTGCTATATATCTTGAACTGTTTTGTTCAGCTTTTTCTCTTTTCAAACTGTTTTTTTGTCATTTTCAGACAAAGAAAAGTTCAATTTTTTAAAATTCCTAATAAATCGAGTCCACGAGCACATAACAAATTAATGTGGAATATAGAGAGAAAATTGGTTGTTTCCGTCACGACGAAGCCAGCGATGTAATAAATCTTTGATAGGGTTTTAGGTATAATTACATTTTTAAAGCAAATTTAATTTTTAATTTTGAGCATATTTTTGCTTTTTTGTAGCGTAAGTTGCATTATTTCGGCTAATTTCACTGTTAGGCTTAGTTGCACTTTTACAACACTTTTTTAATTTTCAATATTTACCCTATGCCAACTTATTTTACTAATTGTTAAATTGCAGTCATAATCAGACAAAAGCAACCATAAATTGATAATTCCAGCTTAAGAAATAGGATAATCATTACGTTAAGATCAGTGCATTTGGATTTTCGTAAAGGCGAAAAAGGATGTATCAATCCAAATACACTTAGAGAGCAACTTTTCAGCCAAGAAGAATTTTATTATAAATTGAAAAGTGAGAAGGGAGTGAGAGAAAAGACTCAAAAATAATTTTGATTTAAAATGACAAAAATTTAAACGCGACACAGTTGTGAACAATATTTTTTAATAAGACAGAATAACACTCTGACTTGACCTTTCTGATGCTGCAAATTTTCACTTGTAAACTTCCTCCTCTTTTTATTATTTTTATGAATGGTTACCTGACAGGATCAACTTCATGGCACTTTTGTATAGTTTTATTTTTTTCAGAAAACTTTTTTCAGGTCATGTACACCTTTAAAAGCTGTCTTGGACTATAGTCCAGTTACTTGCTTCCAACTTTATTTGTGTGTAAAATAGAAAGCAACTGTTACAGTGATGGTGGAACTTCAGGTGTTGTCAGAACTAACATCTGTTTAGTGAAGCAGCCCGCATATATTAGGTGAAACAGCAGAAAGTGGTAAGGTCGGTAGCTAAGCCAGAATACTCGCTTTGTTTGATGATGCTTGCCATCTTTTTTCACCTGCTACTATTATCGAAGATATGATAAATTAAGTCATAGCTTGAGTATAACAGTAAAAGTGTTATAGTTAGGATAGACTGCAGAACCTCAAAACTGCCTTGAAGAGCTCAATTCAAAGTTTTACTTTGTTCTACCGATGCTTTTGAAGTTACTGGTCGTTTTTTCGCCTACACTCTGCTAGAGGTACACTTAGTGGCATTGTTACTGTTTCATGAACTCTTTGCTAATAAGCAGTCACCAGTTACACGTCTGCCGGATAACAATAATAATAAAGTAGAAAAATATTACTAAATAGAGGAACTGGAAATGGGATGGTAGATTAGTTGGGTTTTACTGAAAACAATAAGTTTAAACATTTTACTATTCACAGATTTGATAGAGCTGATACAGTGTAAGAAGAATCTAAAATTCACTAAAGTAAGTATATTATCAATGTCGTTGAGAAAAAGACGCTTGATGATTCTGCTGTGAAGGCTTGCGATGAGTCATAATATCAGTATTGTCAATAGCAGACCGTAGGGGTTAATATCGATAGCACAGAACGTACGAAGCAGAAAGAAGTTAGACAGCAAAAACCAAAGATAAAAAAG